AATTTTTTAAAAAACTTTTTGGGTTGGGGGGGTGGGGGGGGTTGTATGTAAATATATTTCTTGTTGTAAAGCGCATCTACCTCTTTGCAAATCTGTTACAAAGGTGCGATCTTATGTTGTTACTATTATTTTTATTGGAAGGGGAGAAGAAAGGGATGAGGGGGAGGGGTGGGGTGGATATACTATATTACATGGGTAGACCGAACACAGAAGACTCGAAATCACGCATCCATCGAACTGTGTCTGCGGTCCCGGTTTTTTTGGGGTTTTTTCTTCTTCTTTATCTTTGTAAGATATCCCTCGAAATACGGATCCCTCGAACTTCCGAGGCTGGTCCTGATGAATTTGACCTATCCCTGTTATACTGTAAATAGAGATATAATGTTACAAATGAAGACGATGGGGGGGGTGGTGTAAATTGTATATATATATGTGTGGCTGTCCAGGAAATCCCTTCACATGGGTCACTCTATCACTTTTGAGTTATTTACATATTGGATTCTGCTTTCAATTCTGAACATTTTGCTTTTTATTTGAATAGATTATCTTCAATAAATCAAAAGTTATGGCCTTTTATGTGTGGTACCCTCCGAAAAGTCACTTTTGAGAAAACAGCACTTAAAAGTTGGCCTTCAGATTTGAGAGCCCCCCCCATGTGTTAATGATGTCAGTAAAACACAAAGATTGCATGCAAACCATTCCAAAGCATTTGATTACAACATACTGGTTAGTTGAAGAGTGAAAACAAGAATTTATGAGATTGAATCTCTTACAGTGGTGCATTCTGCCTGGCGTCATTGCTGTGCCTTGCTGAGTTGGCCTTGGCCACGTCCTCGTCCTCTTCCACGTCCACGTCCTCGGCCACGTACATTCTGGTCTACTCCTTTTGCTTGGCCGGGTTTGGCCTTCTTCTTGGGAACAGGTGTATCCTCATCCTCATCACTGGGCTCCTCTGGTGGAAGTGTGGGGAAAGGGGTGACGATGTCATGCTTGTCTGCTGCAGCAAAGGGGCGTATTTCTTTGTGAAGGTAGGCCTGCCTCTGAGCACTGAGACCTGTCTTTGGAATGATCTCTGGCATGGTGTTCTGTTCAGGCATTTTCTTCACGATGTCATAACTCTGTTCCTCGACGTCGATATTGGTTTTCACCTTAACAGATCCTGTCCTGTCCATGCGAAGGTGGTGGAATGACTTAATCCCCTTGATTTAAAAAACCAAACTGTGTCAGATACATAGTCCAGTCGTACGTTGGGACCTCTGTCGGTCCATTTTCAGTTCCAATCAGTTTCCCAACATTCATTTGGGATGACGAGTTGACTACGTCAAGAATATCCTGCAGACAGTCAACTTTGGTACGTCTGAATTTCCGCTTGATGAGGCCAAAATCTCCATCAGGGCTGAATTTGGTATGACCAGTAATCAAGAAGCTGAGACAAATGACGTGATTCCGACCTGTTAGGCACCTCCACAGAATGTACCACATCCGTTAGGCACCTCCACAGAATGTACCACATCCGTTAGGCACCTCCACAGAATGTACCGCATCATCTGATTGTTTTTGTTTTGCCCTGCACAGTTGTCTGCGTGAAGATGCAGATTCGTTGCCCCAAGGCTGTGATTTTCAAGGTAGTCGTGAAGATACGAAATAACGACGTTGGCTCCTTTGCCAGTGCTGTGGACTTCGTCGACAAGATAATTGATCTGAATGCCACAAGCTTCGCTGTTGACCCCAAATAAACCACACTTTCTAGGTGTCTTGAAATAGATAGGGCCTGGTTGCTGGGGATCTTGTCGGTAGTGTATCTGCTGTGCGAAGTCGAAAGACACGTGGTGCGTACCCTCAAATGAACAAGCAGGGTGATTTCCCAGGGGTAGGTCAGCTGGCAAATTCCACTTCTCTTCCTCGTAAACCTGCTTGTAGTAGGCCTTTTCCTCTTTAACAATCGAGAGGTGCATCTCTAATTCTTGCAGGACCCTCATTTTGTCCTCATCCCTATTTGCAGAAGAACCAATACAATAGGTTCCTTTTTGGCACGTCCAGCAAAGATCACTGAAAGGAGGCATTGTGCGAACAAACGGAAGTAACTTCTGCCACAGTCGCTGAAATGTACGAAGTTCCACAATCCTGTAATGCTGCCCTTCACTTTCAGATTTTGCGGCGACAGCAGCTTTGTACTGGTTGTACACGGTCGTCTTAGTGCAGTCAGAGGGGAGGAGCTGTACATCAGAAACCCTCTTCTTGGGTGTGCATCCAGGTAGATGAATTGCATGGACTTCAGCGAAGTTCAGAATGAAATCCACCACAGCCCTAGTATCCGTGTAAGACAACGCATTCTTGGGTAGCCTTTTCGAATTTCCATGAGTCCTAGGCTCAACACCACTTTCTTTATAATGCTTGATCAAAGCTGTCAACCTGTCCTGACCAACACAGTGAAGATACTTAAAGAATTCCCTACACACTTTAACACCACGATGGTAATAATCCGTGGGAGAACACTTCCGTTTTGTTTGCTGACCTTTTCTCGACTTTCTTGTTTCGCTGTCTAAGTGAATGCCACTTTCAATCTTTGCCAGCAGAGCAATGTCTAATTCAGAGGTGGTCAGTTGAGCATACTGGCTTCTGCAGTGTTCTATATCCTCACTTGAAAAGTTGAAGTGGCAAGGAGCATCAGATGTACATGAGCAAAGAATGTTCGTAAATTGTTCCTCAGACTGGCCAGCTGAACATGTCTGTGATACATCACCAAGGTCCGAAGGGACGATCGACTCAGAGAGATCACTCGTCACTAACTGAAACTCTTCCTCCTTCACACGCACAGTGCTGTCTGTAGTGATATCTGAGGTGGTAAATAATATTTTTTTAAATTGCTTGACTTGAAGAGTTGAAAGTGAACTTCACTTGACGTGATGAATATAGAATCTATGTTAAAGCTTACTTGTTGAAAACAAAGACGGCCTACATTTGAAAATTGAATTACAACCAAACAAAAATAGAAATTAACGAAACTGTTTCACCATGTACGGTTAGCTAGATCTAGAGCTATGTATTGCCAAGTGTTTTTATTGCTGTTGTGTTGTGTTATCGAATCATTGACGAGCGACGACAGTCTCCGATTTACAAGAGACTGTTCGACTATTTTATATCAACAAAACAAGATAAATGAATACGCAAACCAAGAGTCAATTAAAATAAATAGAGTAAAACATCTGAAGACAAGGAATCTAAAGTTTAGTGCTAGACACTAGAACTAGATCTACTAGATCAGATCTGCCTACAATACAGTGTTTTCGTAGATCTAGATCTAGATCTATGATTTAGATCTGGATCAAGGTCTAGGTCTAGGCCTATTTGTCAGACTATAAATTCTGATGCAGGTCTAGATAGGTGGATTTGTAAACAAAAACATAATTTCTATTCACTTTTCCTATAAATTTGAATCAACAAAGCAGAAATTCAACAGAGAGTAACCCTAACTTACGAGATCCAGGCCTGTGGACATCAAACATGTTTGTATCGAAACAACAACCAGATCTAAGTTCCCTCTTACCAGAATTAGATTCTTCATCACCACTTGATAAATCACCCTCATCGTCATCTCTTGGTTCAAAATATGAATCCACAACTTCATGGCATGCTTCTGAATCGGCTCGATTTAAATTTAAAAGCTTTGCAATCTCATCATCGGTGCTAAACACGGAGCTGGCCATCCTGAACGCTCATCGACTGCATGAAGTGCGGTGCTAAACTCAGAGCTCGCCATCCTGAACGCTCATCGACTGCATGAAGTGCGGTGCTAAACACGGAGCTGGCCATCCTGAACGCTCATCGACTGCATGAAGTGCGGTGCTAAACTCAGAGCTCGCCATCCTGAACGCTCATCGACTGCATGAAGTGCGGTGCTAAACACGGAGCTGGCCATCCTGAACGCTCATAGACTGCATGAAGTGTGAAGAGTGAAACAAAACTCGCGCGTTTGGGAGAGAAGTTTCTTTGTCTATGAATAAACTTGATAAAACTAAGATAAACTATATAATTACCATTTTCTTAATATAAAGTTACAAGTTTTGCATCAATTAAAGTGAGCAGAACGGGTTTTTGATGGCAGTGTATGCCTCAGAATGTCGGACTTTTCAGCGAGAAGCGGCCGGAATACCACAGGTCACCTGTGTAAATTGGATGCGCACTACTTGTACATGTCACGTATTTATGCGCAAACGTCATAGTTAAAAAGTAGAAAGAAAGACCTTTGTTTTGGTGTGAGGCTCGACCTAGTTTTGCTTTATGAGCGTGTTCAAATCGCGTAATGGAATCGGGGGTTTGACAGACAAAATCAGGTGCTATTTTTCCTCATAGGTGCTGAAAACCTTAATAAAGGGGGGGCTTCAAATTACACTTTGAAAATACATTTCTAAACTGATTTAAAGAATAAGATTAAAAGAAAATGAAAGATAAATGAATGGAGAAACCAATCATGATAATAACTCAAATTCGACCAAAATGATGAAATTTGACTTTGGAAACACCTAGCTCAAGACTAGAGCCAGCGACTTCCGACGGGTAATCCCAGACGGCCACATATATGTATATAAATCGATAGATTTTGTTACTGCTAAAAGAATGTTGGTACGTTGTGGCAAGCCATGATTTTGTGTCTTTAACCCGATCTGTATGTGTCGTTTTACTATTGTATCCATACAACGTGGGGAACTCTGTGCCCCCACTTAACCCTATCCGTATGTCATGTTTTACTATCATATCCATACGGCGAGGGGAACTCTGTCCCACCACGTAACCCTATCCGTACGTCGTGTTTTACTATCATATCCATACGGCGAGGGGAACTCTGTCCCACCACTTACTTGTTTATCCGATTTGTATGCTTTGCATAGCAGTCTGTCAAAATGATTTTTTGAGAAATACTGAAAGTTTCAAAGAGATCTTCGTACTAGAAGTATTCTAAAATGTGAAGAATACAACCCCGGGGGTACAAAATGACCCCAGGGTGTACGGATAAGGTTAACACTTTTTTCCCATCGCTCTTTCCCAGTGCACAACACCTGTGTCCACACATGCTCTCACACAGAATCTGTCTAAATCAGGTTGTTTCAACAACAAAAATTATTTTTCAGCTCGTAGTGAAGTTAGATCTAGACATGATGAAAGATTTACAGGACAGTTAGCTCTTTGGGTGGTGGATTATCAAGGCTATAGTTGTTCTGTTGTCTGCTTTCATTTCCACTTTCTGCCCCCCACCCCCTCACCTCCTTTGCTCCCTCCTCTGGGCTCCTGAAACTTTCTGCAGCCTTTCTACTGCTACTCCTTGGCTCCCCCTTACTGCTGTCTTTCTGCCACACCCCTGATCTTCTGGTAGGAAAGATCTACACCTAGCCTTCTCGGACAAGGGCGAAAAATCTCGGAGGGCCCGTGTGCAAGGTGCACAGGTTAAAGATCCCTTGGTGGTCTAAAATCGATAAGAGTAGGCTTTGGCTGCCACCCGGGCAAAATTCAAAATTTCCTACCAACTGAAAATATTAGGTGTGTCCCGCGCGCTCATATGACCTTATGCAGTTGCGAGCGCCGTTAAACACTTTACAAAAACAAAAAAAAGGCTATAGTTGTTCCCCTCACCGGGCGGATTATTTTGAGGCTATTCTGTTGTAACCCAGTGGTGTTAGAAAAAAAAGTCATTAAAAAAATACTATAATAAAAGATAGAGACATACATCATGCACCAAAATAAAGAGAAATGAATGAACTATAACATGAACACAACATTTAGTGAGCAAACAAAAATATTTGTACTCACTTTTTCCTGATCTACGAGAAATTATCCATTAGTTTCTCGGTTTGTACTCCAACTTTGTGTGAAAAGCTTCAAAACACTGTGGAATGTAGAGGGGAACCTTGCAGTGCTTGCATTCAAATGATGTTTGTGTCCTTTTACAGCCATTTCTGACAGATTTGGGAACATTGCACATAACACAGTCTCTCATCGGTTTCTGTCACTTGTCTCCGGGCTTCGGCTCACAATATTTTGGAAAATGGGGAAAATTTCGGTTCAGTCTTTCTGGCACCTCAGATAACTTTCTGGCACCCCAGATAACTCTCTGGCACCCCAGATAACTTTCTGGCACCCCAGATAACTTTCTGGCACCCCAGATAACTTTCTGGCACCCCAGATAACTCTCTGCCACTACTGGGGGGTCCGGGGTTACCTGGTGCAGCCAACAGCAAAGATTTCACAATCTGGCTCCTAAATTCGAAGTGGTCAACAGGGTTTCTCACTGTCTTCTTGTACAAAATGTAGAAGTTGCACAATGTAGCACAAAAAAAGATGCATGATAAATTTCCTCCGCCATTTCACAGACCTCCGAATGCACGCATAGTTCTTCATAAGTTGGTCACTGAGATCCACCCCTCCCATGTTCTTTACATTCTGAACCATCACTTCAGGTTTAACGATCGGGTTGCCTTCATGGTCCTTTTTGGTGAGAGTGACGAGGTTTTCGTCGTGGATGGTGGACAGCGTATGAACGTCACGCTTGTCCGTATGTCGGAGGGCAAATAAGTTGTCTCTCTGCCTAAAAATTGTTTCTCCTTGTGAGAGCTTGATACCAGCTTTTTTCTTTATGGCATCAGGCATTTCTTTCCTGTTGGTTCTCACTGTACCGCATGCACCAGTCCCAAGTAAATGCAGCTCATCGAAGAGTTCCGGTGAGACGTAATAATTGTCTAGGTAGACATGGTGCCCTTTGTCTAGCAGCCCACAGTATGCGAGCAATCCTACCACAAGCTTTGTTGTGGTACAACACTCCTCTGACCAACCAGCCAAAGAAGAAAAAGTTTCCTGTGCTTCTCCCCCAGTGTAAACATTCATACCCAACAAATACCAAGACTCAGACTCGCAGACTTCATAAATTTTTATTCCGAACTTGGCTGGTTTTTTGGGGTTGTACACCTTGAAACGAAGGCGGCCTTTGAAAGCACTGTCCATTTTTCTACTGCCAAGCCTTTTGTATAACTGCCATGCATTCTGTCGCGAAACGCTGCCTTGTTTGAGCTCTAATGTTTGCATGAGAACTCACTTTACACCTTGTGGGTGGTTGGCGGGTGCTCTTGTGTGGTTTGCTCCTTCCTTCCTCCTATCGAACATCTATCGTCCTTCCCTCTTTCTTTTTTTTTTTGTGTGTTACTCTCTTGTAACACCTCTATTCTTCGGCTCTTATAATATAAGTTATATGCCCATTTTACCGTAACTTCCTTTTGTGCCCTGGAAAGAAATGAAGTGAGATGGATACACGTACAAGTACAAGCATAATATTAAAATAAGTCATTTGTATTACTGCCTTTGTTCAGGTAGTATTCTTGATTTAAGGCAAGCTTATGAACGATGCACACCCTCATCTCTGCAGCATGACTGTCGTCACCGTGTTAAAAAATGCTTGCGTTTGCATTGCACACCCAGGAGGAAGGCAATCGAATCGCCATTTCTGCGCTGGCCTTCTCAGGAAGTCGTGATGGACCGGGCACGTCAGAGGGGTATAGCTGCCTTGTGCTTGGAGGTCTACTGAAAGCTTGCTTTTTTTTTCCTTTGACAGCTGTTTTGGCTTGTCTATGCCTGTGAGTGTTAGTCCAGAACATTTTTGTTTCAACTCTTGAAAGGTTTGGCATTTAATTCAAGGCATCCAAATGTTGGGAAAACTCTTTTTCTGTTGTAGTTGTTGTTGTGTTGGAGGCTTTGTTGTCTGATTTCTTTTCAGTAGCCGCAGTGTGACTTTTCTCCCCCATACCTCTCCATCTTCTGTCTTCCGTTTCTCTCTCTCTCTCTCTCTATTTTCTGGTGCTGTGGCTTCATAAACGGTCCACAATGCTGACAGCACACAGGAACTCAACACTTGCCCGGGGGTCCTTAAAAAGTGCTGAAAGTGGGTAACTCAAATGTCCCAGCAGACGTTTGAGACCTGTTATGTGTTCTGAGCACCAAGGTGTTAGGGCGTACCCACGAAGAATAGGATCTGCACAAGGGGTATCAGAGCAAGTGCGACTTACATCCCTATACTTCACGACCACTGGGGCGACAAGAATTACTTGGTGGAGCTTCATAGTTCCTGGGATAGTTTTCAGAGTTTTGCTTTTTTGTCTGTTTTTTCAACAGCTTTGGTGTCCTCCTCATTGATAACATATGTGAGGCAGCGTGGTGGAATCAGGCTCTCATCAATTTTAGGGCGTGTAGAGTTATTGGTATCATCTTAAAGCTTGTTCACTTGTCTTTATTTGAATGAAACAATTATCCATTTATCTTGAATACAAGTCGAGATATTTGCAAAAGGAGGGGGTGGGGTCACCTGTTTTCAGAGGTAAGATTAGTGAGAAAATGGCCGCCAAAGATTAGTTATTTCCTTAGCTTAAGAGTCCGCGGTAACTGAAAATTTACAATTTTTTGTGCCTTTAATCAACATTTTTCAGAAAAATCCACACAGAAATGAGTTCTTTAATGGGCATGAAAGGTGTTGGGTCAAAAAACAAAAATTTGAAAGAAATTCACAAACCTGCGGAAAAATGCAAGTTTCTTCACTTTGATTATATTGACGAGAGCCTGATTCCACCACGCTGCCTCACATATATAGATTCACTGAAGTGTGTGTTCTTGCCAGCTGATCTACGAAGGTTTTGCTGTTCAGAATGTCTGTCCCATGTAGTACCCTGTTGTCTGCAGCTCTATCTTATGCTGCTGCACCTACACCATCTGGGATACCTTTGCCGTGTCCCGCCGCCAAAAAGTTCCATCCCCCCCCCTTAAATCCCATGTTGCCATGTTGTAGATCTCAGTAGAAAATAAATAAAAGTTCATCTTTTGCCTGTACTGTGTGGTTGGTCCATCACTGAAAAAAGGAACCGTGTCCACACCAGGGTAGCTAGTTTTGATTTCTTTCTATACAGTCCTCAAGTACGCCCACACTGGCGAGGTAGGGGTCATGCTGCAGGCTATCTGACACGCCTCAAAGAGAACGCGGTTTGCTTTTCTTGCCGTAAAGTAACAGCCCGTGAGGGGTGTCATTTGGACTTGTGAAGCTCCAAAATGAACTGACTGTATCTCTTTGTGAAGTTTACCGATGTAATGTTCTCTGCAAAGTCAATGTGGACTAAACATTCGTTGTTTCCCCCCCCCCCCCCCCCCCCATGTTTTCTCTGAGATGTTGATAGTGTTTGTATTGGTTTTGAATGTTGAAAGAATGCGGGCAGTATTTTATCGTCGATAGAGTTGGAAACAGTTGTCAATGCACAAAGCCACATCACATGAGATACAATAGTACATGTACCTTGTTTGAGCGGGTTCTCTGGTGTGGTTTGCTCCTTCTTTCCTATCAAACATCTACGGCACTTATATGTCGTTATTGTGTTGCAAGTGCCGTAAAGCTCTTACTAAAACTTTAAAAAATAATCCAATTTCGTGTGATAGAGTTCGAGACAGTTGTCAACGCACAAAGCCACATCACATGAGATACAATAGAACCTTGTTTGAGCAAGGATATCTGTCAGGAGTGCCGCTTGCTTTCCCTTCTCCAGCATTTCCCTCTGTCGTTTCTTCTGTTCGTTCTCACTGATCTTAAACTTAATTTGCTCTCTCACATCCCTGATAATTTTCTTGTCCTTCGCTTTAAGAACATTCCCATGTTTTCGTCCGGAGGCCGTGGTCTGTTGGAGGGCTTGTGGTGACTTGTTGTCGGAAAATTTCAACGTTTCATTATGCTTCCACGTGCTCAACGTGGTCCTCAGATGTGTCTTGGCTGTTCTTCGTTTCGTCATATCGTAATCCAAGTCACAGAACAATCTCTCTCCAGTGAGATTGGTCAGTGGACATGTGTCTAATCATTCCTGACTGAATGTGTGCTGGGATCTCATCACCAAACACACCTCCAGGAAGAAAGTCTGCCAGATGCCTCTTCAAGACTCTGGTGCGTTGCCTTGAAACTTCTTTGAATGTGGCGTCGGTAACCTAGTGGTTAGGCTGCCGGACTTGTAATCATGAGATTGCAGGTTCGAGCCTCAGCTCGGTCCGATGTTGTGTCCTTGGGAAAGGCACTTTACACGAACTTCCCATTTGGCTCTGTCCTATCGGAGACGGACGTTAAACTAGGAGGTCCCGCCCCTTAGATAACCTAATGTGTTGATAGGGGCGTTAAACCCATACCATTTCACCATTATTTCTTCTTTGAATACCTTTGAGATCAAGTCTTTGTTACAGTCGCTGGATTCAATAAACTCTCTGGCAATGATTGATGTGTCTACAAACTCACTCCCAAATAATGGTGGTTCATCTGGCAGTTCTGATATGTTAAAATGTTGAGAGAACCATCGACTCAATGAAGCATCCATTGCCTTGACGTGTGCGGGGAACTGTCCGTAAGGGGTTTGGCTGTCCATCAACGATCCTGCAAATCAATTGAAACCGAAACACTGTGATGTTTACGGTTTGAATGACTGACAAAGTGTTTTAGAAAATCGAGGGCTTGGTTTTGGTGAAACAACACTGCCACAGCATTTTGGGACAGGTTATTGAACCTGTTACTTTTGTAGCTTGTGAAATGCGATTTAATGTCACTTCTGTCTCAATAGGCCAGCCACTCCTCTCGACAGCCATTTTTCTCGTCTCCTCGAGGTCCAAAGAGGTCCGATGCTGTCCTTATAATTCGGCTTGCTGAAGTTTCTTCCTCTTTCCAATTTTGGAAGTCCTATCGGAGACGGACGTTAAACTTGGAGGTCCTGCCCCTTAAATAACCTAATAGTGTTGATAGGGGCGTTAAACCTATACCATTTCACCAGTTTTGGACGGCTGGTTGGGCTGTCCTAACTAACTTGCCTGATTCCATCTCAAGCTCCCTTTCCGTGATGCGAATGGCTTTTTCGGCAGCATGGAATCTGCAAGTCCAATAAGAAAGTGCGCATTGCAGTAGAGAAAATGTACCGTGGCATCCTCACCGATTATATCTTTTTTGTAGGCCAGCATTTTCCTGTTAAATAGCTTCATGTTGACAGCTCTGCGCTCATAAGAGCTTTCACTTTCTGCTTTGAGAGGAGATTTTTGAAAACCTCACCTCTGTCAGCTGTCTCTTGAATGTCGCAGTGCACGTCACTCAGTCCATCCAGCATGTCTATGCTTTTCTTTAAAAGTGTCTCGGCTGTTTCATTTGGGACTTCTGAGTAACCAATGGATCGGACCCCCCGGGGCAGTGCCACTGACTGAAGTGTCTTTAGGCTGTTCCCAAAGGGGGGACATTTCTCGTTCAAGCACAGTAGAATTGTAAATGAGCTGATTCATGTCACGCTCATAACTGTGCCTGATCTACAACAGGGAACTGCTGCTTTTTCTTCCTAATCCTTACTATTGTCGTTTTCCCTCTACTTCTTTTGTATGTTTGTCAGTCTCTTGTGACCCGCTATTTCCGGGGTGCCTTGATAGTCGAAGCAGACCTTGTGCTGTTATAGCTAGAGAGTAGAGCAGAGTAAGTCTGATTCTCTGTAAAGATTTCTCTGTTGACACCCACCCCTTGGCGCTCATATGTGACTTTATGCAGTTGTGAGCGCCGTAAAACCCTCTACTATAATAATATAAATATAAAAATAAAGTTTTAAATGGAAAACTGTAGAAAACAACGGATAGCCTTGGTCATGGTGGAGGTCAAGGAGGGAGCAATTTTCTGAGGTCTTGTAGTTGTAGCTCCACTTGATTTATCCTGCACTTCACTGATTTTTGGTTTCGTGAGTTTGGGGTCAGCACCTATCTTCTTTTACTTGTTTGCAGTGCAGGCATTGTGCTCCCTGATGCAACAGATAGTTTTCTCTTGTTTGAGCTCTCTGATACTTTAGGAGGAGGGGCAGGGGATTTTGCTTTCTTTTTCACTCTTTCTTGCTTTTGAAAATCTCCTCTGTCTGTCGATGTGCACAGAGAAGAGCTGGAGGCACCAGTACTGTCAGTAGATGATTTTGGGGGAT